GAGAGAGAGGCAGTAAACAATTCTGAACATAACTAAGGCTTACACTGACACCAGAAAATTTTACTAGTAATGTCTTTGTTAACATACAGCTGCTCATTTGCATTTTTTTTTTGTTATTGTTGTTTTTCGCATATTTGCCTGTCTACCTATCTTCGCCGGTACAGCACATTTCCAAAACAAATAATTTTATGAGCAAAACACACATTGTACTCAGAGTTGCCAGCAAGGCACAGCCATAGACACACATGAATTGTTCCAAGGGTCCATGCACAGAAAGAAAACGTAATATTTCTATTTTAGCAGCACAGGTATCTGTGGATCACATTATTTTGGGGGGTTTTTTGTTTGGTTGGTTTTGTTAGTTTTTGGTTTTGTTTTGTTTTTTTTTTAATTTCTTCCTTCCCTGGATGAAGTTCAGTCTTGCAGCAAGTAGGGAGGAAGTGTTTCTTAAAGGGATTCCAGCTGAAGCCATTGGCAAGCAAGACGACCCTCTGCAAGAATTAAAGTATTAGCAGGCAAGAAAAGATAAATGAAAATAATGCACAAATCTTTCCAAGAAACCATCACTGAAATATGTAAATTCAAATTTCTTCAGAAGAGATCAGTCCAGAGCAAAATAAAGTGAAGCAAAGCTAGCAAGTTTATTAGGGCGGTGGACCCTGGAAGAAGAAAAGATGAGGGAGAGAACTGTGCTGGGGTAAGGAGTCCCGTTCCTCAAGGAAGGCAGGCAGAGGAGTTTTCAGCACATCTTGTATAGCAGTATGTCTCCTTGAGTGAAGTCTTCCAGAGTCTTTGAGTAAGAGATCCTTTGTTCCGTTGCCTGCACTACCAGAAACTATATGCTTTCCAAGTATGTCTTCTAGATGCTTTCTAGGACACAGTCCTTCTGGTTATTCTGAATTACCCTAAAGTGGCAATTCTGAATATGCTCTTCAGTGCTTAAAGCCTTTGCTCTTTTTAACATGAAGGAAAGAAATATCCAGAAACATAAAAAACCCAGACTTCTGGGAGCTCTACAACAGGAACACATTTATTGATTTTTCCCAAGTCCTGTATCTAGCCTGTGCGAGAACAGAGTTATAATCACAATAACATTAAATGTTGGCAAGATATATACATATATATTATTGGACTGTGTGCGTGTGCGTGCAGCATTACTGGTGATTCAATTTAGCCTGAGTTAAGGTTAGATATGTCAGGATTGCAGTGGAGGAGTAACTTGCAATGTAGAAGCAATAGCTGTAGTGTTTCTATGCCCACTACGAAATGCTGCAGAGCATAAGTTTAATGAAACGAAACAGGCTCAGAGGAATAGAAGAACATCAGAAAAGCAGCGATATTCAATTAGATCAGCAGTAGTAAAAATGGGAACAGATTAAGCAACATATTTCATAGGACACAAAAATATATATATATTTTAAAACTTGTCCAGCCTTTGAGTGTGGAGGCACTGACCCTCAGCAGTATAGTTTCACCGTAGGAAGAGACACATATTTCACTTTAAGAAATGATGGAACATTTGGTAAACAAAAGCAATTTTATCCATCATGCCTTTAAGCTTATTACTTTGGTACAGAAAGTCATCATTGTATAAGCCTAATGGTCATTCATAATGTCAATTAACTTTGCTGAGGCAAATCTTTTGTCACTAAAAATGGAGTACTGGCTTTGTGACAGTATTATGAAGTGAGAAACCCTTATATCATTTTAGTGGTTTGGTTTTGTTTTTTGGGGGGAGGGTGGGGTATTTGTTGTTTTTGCTTTTTAGTTTGTTTGTTTGTTTTTCCCCCCATAATTTTGGAGAACAGAATGACAGTGAAGTGTAAGAGAAAACAAAAAATCCTGATTTTCAGTACATCATTAACTTCAAGTTATAATTCTTTCTCTTGGAAAAGATACTCTAGAAGAAATGACAACTGATCTCTCTATTTCAAGCCACTGCTCTATCCCACCTTCCTTCTTCCTGCGGCTAGCAGGAAGCAGCATGTATTCATGGGAACATGGTCTACTTGAAACAGAAAGGCTATTGGCTGGAAAGGATATTCCTTGCAAATTTTTATTACAGCCCATGCTGAGAGAAACAGTTTTACTGCACTTGCCTGTTGAGATAGACCCGTTTTTCTGTTAGCTGACCATTGCCATGGTTTGGATCTTCATAGGGTTCATTCTGCACCACCTCCACACCTTCACCTCGGTCACTCTGCTCATGGCTATGCTTGCTTATCATGTACAGCTGTCCAATTCTGTACTGCAAAGCAAAATCAAGAACAACGTATTAGCTTTATGTAATACATGTGCATTCAAAAGCCAATGTCATACAATGATATAGCAGTGTGTGCAAATAAAAGGTAGTTCAAGGGCAAAAACCAGTATTTTGCAGCTTCATTTAGACCTATGAGTCAGGGTCCTCCCATTACCTTATTAAGTCCAGGGCATCACTTGTGGAAAAAACAACAAAAACTGTGTGTATACAGATGAAAAGAATCAGGCCAGTCCTTTATTTTTAGACTGTATTTGTAAGGATATAAGTTAAGCATAAATAAACAATTTCTCTACTGCTGCCGTGTGCTGACATGCAAGGGGATTTTAACCAGCAGGTGAACTCTAAAAATCCTGTGGGACACAGGATTCTCCTGTCATGCCAACACGATGCCAAATAATGAAGCCCTGCAAAAAAGATTCAGGAGAACTATTGCTGATACACAGAAACAGGAGTGCCAGCTCTTAAGAAAAAACTCATGTAGACTCTAAGTCCTTTCAAAAAGAAGTTTGAGACAAGTGATTTGGCGATACTATTAAAATGAATTTAAGCACTTAAATGATCCTTTTTCTATAGGCTTTCGAGTTACTTAGGAAGCCAAAACCCAGGAGGGTTGACCCGACATTGCTATCACAGAAAAATAAATTGTTGTACTGGCAATTGATATTTTTCTCAGTATGTCTGCATCTGCACTAAGGCTTTTGCCTCCAGAGAAATATAACAAAAAGTACATCCTGAGCCTTCATTAGCCAAGATTTTAGAGTAAAATTGTACTTTCCCACACATTTTTCTGGTCTGAGATTTTATTATCACTTAAGTCCTTTCCACATTCTTGAACATACCACGGTTCTTACAACAAACTGCCTTTGGATCTATCCAGTTTTCTCCATTTGGATCCCTCTCTCCCCCAAAGTAATTTGTTTAGGCATATACATGCTAATCGCTTCAATCACATCAATCACTTCAAATACAAAGAACAACCTGTTAATTTAGAGAATAGCTGAGCTACTACACAAGCTGCCAAGTACTAGCTCAGCATAAGCAAACAAAAGCATAGTGACAGTCTGACCTCAGAAAACTCTACGAGATTCTTGTGGTTATTACATATTATAAACAGCAATCCTATCACAGACTTTAAAAAGCCCCAAAAGCCCAAATCGAAAGAGCAATTAGCTAGGCAAAAAGCCCCAAACCATCACAGACATTATTAACAACTGCCAACAAGACAGTCTTACTAAATAAACGATAAGGAATAGGATCATGGAGGCCTCCCTACAGAAGTTCTTTAAATTCCACATAACCCCATTTTATTCCCCTGCAGCAGGCAGGCCACAAGAAGGTAAGAAATTTAGAAATTGCATCTTGCAGGATCATTCACTTAGGGGACAGGGATTTCCCTTCTCCTAGTACTGAATGGACACCACCTACTTCCTTGCCAGCCACACACTACAACAGAGAAGCAGATGATTTGCTTCAAAAAGGTGCCTTTCAGTGGATAATTCCAAAGTACTAAAAATGCCTCCAATTTATAAAAAGGTTCTTCAGGGGCAAAAGGGTGCTCTGGGAGGGGGAGATGAGGTACCTTGGATCTATTTTCTTTTCCTCTAATCTAATTAGGTAATTTCAGTGGATTTTTTTCCCATTACCTTTCTTCAAACATCTCCTCACAGTGAAGAATATAACCCACTCTTAAAACTCGTTGGAACTAGTAAAAAAAAGGACTAGGGGAAAAGAAAAAAAGATACGGTTGTCATAAAACTAGCGAGTGTCATAGGGGTCAGGTCAATTAATTGTGAAAATGTGACCCTTGTAACATTTGAAAAAAATTCAGTAAATCTCTGCAGAAGTGCTGGCTACGCAACCTAGAGGTGCCTGAATATTTAAGTGTTATGCACATAGTGTTTCTTCCTCTCCTTTCTCTTCTTAATTGGTGAGTATTGATGGCTCTTTTTTTTTATTAGAATGATCATTCTTTCTCTTTATATTCTATATAACTTTGGAGAATCTACTCTCTCACTACACAGAAATGTTCCTAAGACGTTCACTAAAATGATAAGTAGAATAATGCTCTTTACACGATTTGATGCTGGCACTATCTCCTGCCTATATATTCAGCTTTCTCATCTCTGGTACCTCTTTCACACAAAATGTCCCCATTTAAGAGATAAGCCCTAAAATTATTTTTCTTGCTAATCCAGTTATCTACCTTAGTCTCTACTGAATCCTTTTTTTCTCTGTCTCATCATATTTAAACATTTTGTCCTAATCTTCAAGGCTCTGAAGAGCTGCATTCCCCACACATACCTTTTAACTAGTTCCATGAAAAACTGGCTTCTCTTTTTCACTAACAATAAATTAATGCACTGGTACACAGGCAAGGCAAAATTTGCAGACAGAGGTAGTATATTTTATTTGATCAACAAGTACAGTTGGAAAAAGGAGAACTTACAGGCACATGAAGCTGTTCTTCAGGCCTGAAATAAAAAAAAAAAAACCAACATACTTCAAAGCTGAATGCAAGCTGAGAAAAAATGCTTTGCTTTTAATGAGATATGTATCAATTAGACCACCTGAGAGTAAAGATCATTACTGCCTGTGGAGTGATAAGGATGTTAGAAAAGAGGAGAGGTGATAAGGTGCTTATCTTCTAATGGAAAGAAAGAGATCAGTAATATATAGCCTGTGGAACATGAAAAGGTAAGGTGAGGAGAGGGGAGAGGAATTACAATTTTCCATAAAGCCAATATTTCTATTGAGATCTCTATTGAGAATTTTGTTATCCCCTTAAGTTATGACTTTTAGTTGCCATGGACATCTCTGGAAAGTGTTTCATGATTCCACGTATTACCGCATGCTTTGATTTCCTACTACCCTGTCGTCCTTTGCGATTTTGCTCTCAATTTCAATGGTCAAATAAAGATGTCTCAGTTTCTGCCAGAACTACTGGCTCAGAAACATCAAGATGAACGTACATTCGCACTGACAACTAACAATGGGGTGGTACTAAAGCATTTATTTGCTGCAGCATCATCAATCAGAGATATCCACCTATAACACCACCACATGTTTTGCTAACACAGACTGTTGTTCTTTCATGGACCCATACTACCATAAAATGCTAGCAAAATATTAAATCACAGACTGTAAATCCATCTGAGTCCATGGTTAAGAGTGGCTAAGCTGCATACCCTCTTCAGATGATGATCAGTGCTGTCAAGTAGAAATTGCTTTACAGATGTTGCACAGTCAGTGCTTAAAGAAAGGTTCTGCTTCTCCAATGAGACTCAAAATCACACACACTCCAACTGTACCTAAGATCTCACAGAAGGTATCCAAGGCAGCTCAGCGTGGCGCTTCTGACTTGGGAGATGTTGAAGAAAACAGAAGGCACCACAACTGGTGCTGGACAGCTCTTCTGCAGGAATCCTACTGCTACTCGCCTCTCCCCCGGCGTTGACTTTCCATACCTATGGATCTGACACCACTCAAGTGGAAATACCCACCTTTCATAACTATTGAAATGACTGTGCAGTCCTGCTAGAAAGCAGCTCTATTCTGCAAAAAGAAACATACTTTTACATGTACTTCAAAGTAGCTAACTTAGCTCCTTTGTGTGCTATTCATTTGGTTTCATCTGGTTTATAAAATTTTAGTATCATTCTAGAGCAGGATGAAAAAAGAGTTAACTTCCAAAATTATAGTACTTTACTAAACCAGCGAATACACAACTATTATTTCATGTAAAATAACTAATAAATAAAAAGTGTATGTTTATATTTACATGAATAAAATCCAAAGCAAAGATGTGTCTTTTAGAACTTGCTGAAATTTAAATGCCTGAAGAAAAAAGTCACAGCTTTTTGTAACTTCCTATTGATATTGTGGAGAAATATCACTTAAGAAACAGTAAACTGCACTTTAAGAGCAGTAAACAATACTCATTATTCCTGCAAGGGTAAACTGATGTGCCACTATTATTTGTGTTGCTCTATCACAATCTGAATTTCCACGTTCTTAGCTGTAAGATAATTTTCCAAGACCATATACTGTTTCAAGGAAGTTAGGAAAATCTCACACAGTGGCACCTGATCTGAATTTGGTTCTGGAGAAAAGCTCTTTGTTTGAAAACTCTTCAGTTTAATAGGGGGAAATTTCTTCAATATCAAAGGAAGAACTTCAACAAACAAATGCATTGAATGTGGAGTTAGAGATTTCTAAGGATATTGCTATGTGGCTTCTGTTGCAGACTTGATGTTTCTCAACTCCTAATGAGTTAGACATTGTCTCAGTGGTGACTTCTCTTTTCCTTCAACAGGCAGATGGTGTTTGCCCATTGGGAGTTTAGTCATACAAGAAACAAGCTTTATGTTAGCAACAGCATAATGATGGTCAATTTGATTTTGTTTAAAATTATAAGTGAGACCAGAATCACTTTTTTGATGTTCTTGAGACAGGAGGGGGAAAAAAGAAAAAAAAAGGGGGGGTGGGGGTGGTGTCCACCCTACACATCTTTCATTTGTAGAACTCCCACTGTCTTCAGCAGAAGCTGCACAAGAAATCCTTGTACAAATGTGTGAATTTTTTTCAGCCTGACCGACTATTGCTCAGTTTTTCATCTAATACTAGTCTTAGAGTACAACCTTTCACACAACCTTTCAAACTTCACGTGGAATATAAAAAGTAGCATTCTCTCAAAGGAGAAATTATGCCAAAGCTATCCATAATCTGAAATTTTTATACCATTCCTTGAAGTTCTTATCTGAATGCTCACAGAGAATGTAACAGATTGATCACTAGCGTCATCTTATATGGCAATTCTCATATTCAAAAGAATTGTTGAACTCTTTAATCTACATTTAGTTTTCTATAACTAGACTAAACCACCACGGATGGTGCTGCCATTTCAATTTATGCAATTTATTGTTCTAAGTCAGTAGTGAGATCCCTCCCTGCAGTTAGAAGCTGGAGTCCAGAAGATGCTGAA